ATTCTCCCACTTCAGCCTCCCAAGTAGCTGGGATTATAGCTGTGCACTATCATACCTGGCTAATTTAAAATTTTTTTAGAGACAGGGTCTCGCTATGTTGCCCAAGCTGCTCTCAAACTCATGGACTCAAGTGATCCTCCCACCTTGGCCTCCCAAAGTATTGGGAGTACAGGCATGAGTCACCATGTCCCGTCCCGAACTGTTTTTCAATACAATTTTTATTATGGAGAGAAAGCTGGACAATTTAAACAATTACGTGTTTTATTTTTCCATTTCTGCATTTCACTCTTGCTAATATACAGGTATTGAATTTAACGCATTTCATTCTTAATGTTTTATGCCTTGTCTTCTTCCGTTTAGAAAACTTTAAACCAGCCAAAAGGCTGCAGTAAGTGTTGGTGGCTAGTTCCTATGACTAACAAGTCACAGTCCATACAGCCCAGGATGCCGACCTGGAGAGCAGGCCAAATTCTGCAGGTGTGGTGGTTCATCCCTGTAATCCCAGCTCTTTGAGAAGCTGAAGTGGGAGAATCACTTGAGCCCAAGAGTTCCAGGTTACAGTGAGCCATGATCATGCCACTGCACTCTAGCCTGAGCAACAGAGCGAGACTCTGTCTCAAAAACAAAAGAAAAATTCTGACTGCCCTGAAAACACCCTGAATACCTAAAACAGCAAATTTAAAGCTTGTACCATAATGCTTGTCAATGGTTAAGTTCATGTGCATTTCAGACTTCACCACTGCCTTGCCACCATACCATGATACCACCATACCATGGATGCAAGAACCACACAGCCTCCTTGTATCCATGTGACCATTTCTTCTCATTTGGATGCAGTATCTGCTATTGAGCAAGGTCACTTGAAAGAGAACTGAACTTGGAATCAGGGTCCAAGTATGTGAGTTCCAGCTCTTTAGGGGACTAGACGAGGCAATTTAGTGCAGTGGATCAATGTCTGCCTGCTAAACTCAGACCGTGTAGGTGCAAATCCTGGTTTTCCACTTTCTAGCTATGTGACTGTAGGCAAGTTTCTTTCAGAGATGGAGTCTTGCTCTGTCACCCAGGCTGCAGTGCAGTGGGGCGATCTTGGCTCACGGCAACCTCTGCCTCTCGGGTTCAAGCGATTCTCCTGTTTAGGCAAGTTTCTTAAATCTTGTGCCTCAGTTTTCTTGTTTGTAAAATGGCAATGATATCAATAACTACCTTACAGAGTTTCTGTGAGGATTAAATGTCTTAAAAATGGTTTAGAGCAGAGTCGCAGATATTCTAAGCACTCAATCAATGTGGGCAATTATTATTACTAGCTCTATGACCTTGGGGATCTCACTTAAGCTCTGTAAGACTCTATCTCATCTTCTGTACAAGTCATGATCTCACATGATCTTTATGAAGATTGAATAAACTCAAGTAACATATTTATGAAGCTATCTTTAAACCATAATCAGTGGCTGGGGGTGATGGCTCGCGCCTGTAATCCCAGCACTTCGGGGGGTCAAGGCAGGTGGATCACCTGAGGTCAGGAGTTCGAGACCAGCCTGACATGGTGAAACCCTGTCTCTACTAAAAATACAAAAAAATTAGTGGGGTGTGGCGGCAGGTGCCAGTAATCCCAGCTACTTGGGAGGCTGAGGCAGGAGAATCACTCGAACCTGGGAGGCGGAGGTTGCTGAGATCATGCCACTGCATTCCAGCCTGGGCAACAGAGATCGACCCTGTCTCAAAGTAATAATAATAATCAGTAAATAAATAAATAAAACATAATCAAGTATCAGACGACTCCTTCAACCAAGTAGAATTTGTTCCTTTCTGCTCTTTGCTTCCATAATACTTAAAAAAAAATACACGCACCTGCTATAGCACTTGTCACAAGGTATTGTAAGGATTTGCTCACCTGTTCTTCTCCCCTACTGATAGAACATCCTCCAATTCACCTCTGCATCCTTAACACATTGGACATACCTGGCACGGGACCAGTGCTCAATAAATATTTGTTTAAATGAATATCACTGAAACAATTGCACAGGAATTCTCATGGCCTTTGCCAAGGGTCCTAGGTAGACCACCCAGAAATGTGCTTTTCTTCAGGCACAATATATTGAGATTCTGTCATTTCAGATGCTGCCAATGTTGTATTTGTTACATTTGTTCATTCTTTTCACTTAACAAATAATTAGTGAGCACCTTCTGTGTGCCAGGTTCTATGCTGGGCTCCGTATGGTATACCCAAGTGGTAAATGGCCAGACTAATAACAGTTCCTGCATATCAGATATAAGGGGAACCTATGTACTATAGAATCATCCACTCTTTGAGATAATATACTCCTCTGTTTAATTATTTCATTAGAGTGATAGAATCTCACAGTGGGAAAGAATGGCTTTTTTTGAAGTAAAAGTCCTTATACTTTACCTTTATTTTTATTTACTTATTTTAGAGACAGGGTCTTGCTCTGATGCCCAAGCTGGAGTGCAGTGGCATGATCACAGCCCACTGCAGTCTTGAACTCCTGAGTTCTAGTGATTCTCCTGCCTCAGCCTCACCAGTAGCTGGGACTACAGGCGCACACCACCACGCACCACTTAGGGAACTTGCAGAATAATAATTAAGGTTTGGGATCTGACTGCCTGGGTTCAAATCCTAGATCTGTTTTGTGCCAGGGTGTAAGGCCTTGAGCAAACTGCTCAATCCCACTAAGCCTCACTTTGCTCATCTGTAAAATGAGCTAGTGGGATGTAGTAGAAATGACAACCACATTAATCACTTACTATGGTGCTTGCCAAACAGTAAGCAGTCACTGTGTTTTGCTATTATAAACAATCTATTCTCCTCACATCCTCACTCCAGGGTTTGAACTTCTTATCACAAGTGCACCCAGTGAATAAGGCATAACTGCCCCGCTTCCAGGCACCAGGGTCAGGGAATGTACTACCTCCAGTGGCTGTCCATTTGACTGCTAGGCAAATCTAACAGTTGACCGATGTTAATAGGTTGAAATATACTTACTGCCATTTGGGATAACCCAGAAGCAATCAGATCTCTCCTCTGCTGGCTAGCCCCACAAACTTTGAAAGGTAGCTACATATGCTAGTTATCACCATCTCCCTTACGCACCTACATACAACCTTGGATCTTTTTTCAGAATAACTCTGTGCACCAGATTTCTTATTATACTTTTTACTTTTCTCATATAATCCTTTGTTTATCAATGTCTCTGAATGTCTGAAGCTCAGAATTTATAAAACAGAACAAATGTGGTCTGATCACCAGTGAGTACTAGAGAACTAGTTACCCTCTTGAGCACCGCATTTCTATTAGTACAACAAAAGATTGATATTTTTTAAAAGCTACATCCCACTGTGTTGACTCATCACCTTCTTACAATCAACAGGAGACTGTAAATCTTTCTGCCATGTGTAGCTCAATACATCATCTCGCCCCCACTCAGTACTTTTACAATGCAATTTGAGGATCTTTGAGTACTTTATATTGGTATCCATTAAATGCTATATTGTTAGATATGATTCATTATTACATTTGTCAGGATCGGGGGCGGGGAGAGAATCCGATTGTATCCTCCAACTTATTTGCTATTCTCTTTAGTGTGTATTATCTGTAAATTTGTTCAGCATGCCATCAATGTTATTGTCTTAGTCATCGATAAAAGTGTTCAGGGAAAAACCAGACTTTCATTAGATCCCTAGAGACCCAAATGTGCATCAGCCTCTTTAAAGAAAAAAGAAAACAAGGGCCAGGTGTGGTGGCTCATGCTTGTAACCCCAGCACTTTGGGAGGCTGAGGAAGGAAGATTGCTTGAGGCCAGGAGTTCAAGACCAGCCTGGGTAATGTAGCAAAACTTCATCTCTATTTTAAAAAGTATAACAATTAAAAAGAAAAACTTGCAAAAGACATCATTCATTCAAACAAAAAATATTTACTGAGTTACGACTCCAAGTGCTGAGCATCTAGAGCTGAACAAAATAATTGCCTGCCCTCATGATGCTTACATTCTAGAAGGGGAGGTAGACAATAAACAATTAAGTGTTTTGGAAAACAAAAGCAGTTATGAGGCTAGAAAAATTTGACAGTGGGGATGGAGTGGGGTTGTTGATAGGCAGTATGGCTAAAGCAGTTGTTTTTAGAGTATGGTTGAACTACTCATGTCTTGCATTATTCACAGCAAGCCTTTCTGATTCTCGAAATCCACTTTTCTTTTTCTTTTTTATTTTTTTGAGATAAAGTCTTGCTCTGTTGCCTCTACTAGAGTGCAGTGTTGTGATCATGGCTCACTGCAGCCTCAAACTCCTGAGCTCAAGTGATCCTCCTGCCTTAGCCTCCCAAGAAGCTGGGACTACAGGCACATACTACCTGTAAACACTGGGATTACAGTCATGAGTTACTGTGCCCAGCTGAAAATTCACTTTTCTATATGCGAAGTCACTTTAGAAAAAAATCAATAGAACAATGATGAAGAATTTTTTTTTTTTTTGAGATGAAGTCTTACACCGTCGCCTGGGCTGGAGTGCAGTGGTGTGATCTCGGCTCACTGCAACCTCCGCCTCCTGGGTTCAAGCGATTTTCCTGCCTCAGCCTCCCGAGTAGCTTGGATTGCAGGTGCCCGCCACAAACCCAGCTTCTTTTTTGTATTTTTAATAGAGACAGGATTTCACCTTGTTGGCCAGGCTGGTCTCAAACTGCTGACCTCATGATTCACCTGCCTCAGCCTTCCAAAGAGCTGGGATTACAGGTATGAGCCACCGGCCCGGCTGAAGAATTTAAATACTTATGAAACAGATGAGAAAATGTAAAAGGATGGAACTCTTCAGAAGACTTCACAACATTTCTTTGTACACGTAGCATATTCAAACATTGTGAAAACAACTAGTCAGGAGTCCAGTCACATCTTCTGATAAAGACTCCAGAGAGAATTGAAAAAGCATTACTCTACTGGTACACAACATTGTTGACAACTAAAGAGAGAAAAAACTAAAACGTCAACACTTACCGAATTCCAATCCCCACGTTTTCAAGTATGGAGCGGGTTATGAATCCAGCTGTTTATGGAGTCAGGAGGATGGAATGTTTGGATGACCCCAGAACATGGTTTGAAAGTCTGGATATCGAACTCTGGAAAAGAAGCCCACAGGACAGATGTGAAGTCCGCCTCTATTAATTACCCTCTGCTTACAATTTTTTTTTCTTTATTTTGAGATGGAGTCTCACTCCGTGGCCCAGGCTAGAGTGCAGTGGCGTGATCTTGCCTCACTGCAACCTTTGCCTCCTAGATTCAATGGATTCTCGTGCCTCAGCCTCCTGAGTAGCTGGGATTACAGGGCTGCACCACCACGCGTGGATCATTTTTTGTATTTTTTTTCTCAGTAGAGATGGGGTTTCACCATGTTAGCCAGGCTGGTCTTGAACTCCTGACCTCAAGTGATCCACCCACCTTGACCTCCCAAAGTTCTGGGATTACAGGCATGGGCCACTGTGCCCAGCCCCTCTGCTTGCAATTCTAATGTTGATAAGTTCTAATTTTTTTTAATCTTTTTTTTTTTAAAGATGGGGTCTCACTATGTTGCCCAGGCTGGCCTCAGTCTCCCAGGCTCAAGCAATCCTCCTGCTTCAGCTTCCCAAGTAGTGAGGACTACAGGTGTGTACCACCATGTCCAGCAATATTTTAAATCTTTCAATCTTTCAATAAATCCCTTTAATGTTTGAACGACTAGACCAATCTTTGTTAAGTAAAATACTAATTGCTTTCTCTGATTGGAAATTTTATTTGTTATTATTATTATTTTGAGACAGGGTCTCACTCTGTTGCCTAGGCTGGAGTGCAGTGGTGCTCACTGCAGCCTCAACCTCCTGGGCTCAAACGATCCTCCCATCTTGGCCTCCTGATTAGTTGGTACTATAGGTGCACATCACCTCACCTGGCTAATTTATTATTATCATTATTATTTTAATTTTTTTTTTTTGAGACAGAGTCTCAATCTGTTACCTAGGCTGGAATGCAGTGGCATGATCTTGGTTCACTGCAACCTCCGCCTCCCAGGATCAAGCAATACTCCTGCCTCAGCCTCTTGTGTAGCTGGGATTACAGGAGCACACCACCACATCCAGCTAATTTTTTTCATATTTTTAGTTTAGCCATTTTGACCAGGCTGGTCTCAAACTCCTGATCTCAGGTGATCTGCCCACCTCAGCCTCCCAAAATGCTGGGATTATAGGCTTGAGTCATCGCACCCTGCCTTTTTTGCTTGTTTGTTTTTGTATAGAGAGTCTTACCATGTTGCCCAGGCTGGTCTCAAACTCCTGAGCTGCAGCAACCCTGCTGCCTCAGCCTCCCAAAGTGGTAGGATTACAGTTGTGAGGCACCACATACAGCCAGAAATTTATTTTATATTTTCACAGTGACACTTTTGACATTCATATTCATTCATTCCTTGAGAATCTGTTTTTGTATCCAATACTTTGTTGGTGTTAAGAATACAAAGGTGAACAGAAAAAATAAGGTCCTGGTAAGCACCTACAGGGACCCTACAGGAGATGTGGCCACAGTAGACACAGGAAAGTCAGCTGTGATAAAGAAGTGTGTTATGAAGACATAAGTACAGAGAGCCCTAGGGAGGTCACCTAACCCAGATTTAGAGAAAATTGGAAGTTAGTAGCTTGTACACAGAGACTTACAAGGTATGGAGGAGTTAATCAAATAAAGAGGCGGGGAAGTCTTTTTCAGGGGGAGGGTACAACATACACACACTTTGGAAAGAACAATGCATGGTTACACATGCTGAGTATCTGAGTACTCAAAGTCGTTTCTAGGGTCTTAGCCAAAGTGGTTGGAGATGAGGCTGGAAAGGTAAGCAGCAGTAAATTATGGAGAAATATACAAGTCACACTCTCGAGGAGGTAGAAACTACTGAAAGTCGTGACGGATTACATGTTGGAGTTTTGAAGAAAATCCAGAGTGGAGATCAGTTTCTTGATGTGGACAACTGGGTAGATAGTGATATCATTCAGTAAGACAGCAAAAATGTGAATTCGAAATTGAGATTTGGGGGAGAAGGTGCTGAGTTCAGCCTTGGATGTGTTTGTTTTGTGATGACTGGGGAACATTCAGAGCAACAGCAAGCAGTTTGATCTAGAAATCTGCGGACACACATTTAGGAGTCATCCGTACACGACAGACAACAAGAGACTTCACAGAGATGAATGAGATGCCCTGGGAGAGTGTGTCGGAGCATAGAGAAAGAGAGAAGCCAGAATAACACCAAAGCTTAAATAAAGGATGGTATGTTAGTTCACTTTGTGTTGCTTAAAAGGAATGCCTGACTGAGTAATTTCTAAAGAAAAGGGGTTTATTTGGCTTACAGTTCTGCAGGCTGTACAAGAAACACGACACTCACATCTGCTTCTGGCGAGGTCTCAGGAAGCTTCTGCTCATGGTAGAAGCTGAAAGGACCAGGCATGTCACATGGCCAGAGAGAGAGAGAGAGAGCGAGAGTGAAAAGAGGAAGTGCTGCTCTTTTAAACATCAGTGTTCATGTGAACTAATACTCATTACAGCAAGAAAGGCACCAAGCCATTCATGAGGGATCCACCCCCATGATCCAAACACCTCCCACCAGGACCCACCTCCCATGCTGGGGATGAAATTTCAACATAAGTTTTGGAGGACACAAATATCCAAGCTATAAGAGATGAGCAGAGAAAGGACACCTGAAAAAAAGGAGTGAGAAGGTGTAGCCAGATAGGTTGGGAAGAAGAATGGTGAGGTATCCAGAGAACAAGGGAAAAGCCTCTTTCAAGAAATAGGCTGTGATCCACAGAGGCAAATGCTATCAAGAGATCAAGCAAGAAAAAGACTAAGAAGCACCCACAGGCGAGTACCATGGAGATACTTGACTGGTTTGGCAGGGAATAGGGTCCGTGCAGGTCACAGTGAGTTGAGGAGTAAATGGAACCCATGGACGCAGACATCTGTTTCAAAAAGTTGGCCTTAAAAGTGGAAGACGTGGCTGGGCATAGTGGCTCACGCCTGTAATCTCAGCACTTTCAGAGGCCGAGGCAGGAAAATCACGAGGTTAAGAGATCGAGACCATCCTGGCCAACATGGTGAAACCCCGTCTCTACTAAAAATACAAAAAAAATAGCTGGTGTGGTGGTGCGTGCCTGTAATCCCAGCTACTTGGGAGGCTAAGGCAAGAGAATTACTTGAACTTGGGAGGCAGAGGTTGCAGCGAGCCGAGATCACGCCACTGCACTCCAGCCTGGTGACAGGGCGAGACTCTGTCTCAAAAAAGGGGGATGGGGAGGGTAAAGACATAATCCCTAAATGTTCTTTCCAAGGGTTAGGAAAGTGGTCTGCCACTAGACTCACCTCAGAGGATCTCTAGGTTCCTCACCACCTATGCGTCAGCTCAGCTGACCTCATGCCAGCACTCTGGGAGTACATGGCCTGTGTGTTGAGCAGTACCCCAAAAACCAGTTGTGGTCTTGGTCGAAACTGCAGAGCAAAGCAGATCAGCCTCTTGTGTTTTCCTCCTAACCTTTCTTCTGCCCTGCCCCTGTCCCTAGGCCTCTGAGGTCCACACAGACCTCCCGGCCCATGGCCCACTGCGAGGCACGAATGTGCACCCGAACTCAGCAGTCCACCAACGACACGACCTACAAAGGGACGAATCTGTTCTGACCCAATTGTCACACTGTCACTATCTCTCAACTCTTGTCATGGCCCACGTATTGGGACCAGAAGAGAGGAGTGTAGTCACCTTGAAGTCTGGAATAAACAGCTGGCTCTGCAGCTGGCCAGGCAGCTATCCAAGCAGGGGGCCTCTCTAGGAGCAAAATCCAGAAGCCAAAATAAATGGGTCAGGTGGAGAGCAGATGACCATAACTGCTCGCGAAGCTGAAGGTCGCCCCTAGGAAGCGAAGGTGAGTTAAGGCCTAATGGATGGACTATCAGAAGGGTTTTGGATGAGAGGGGAGGGACGGGGGAGTCCAGGAGCAGGGACCAGAAATGGGTTAGAGGTTATCAGACTGTTGAGATTCACTCAGCATAGCTGGCAAAATATTGAAGGACAGTTATAAGATTATCGTTTCAAACCTTTTGGAAGGCCAAAGGTTTTTATAAACTTGTGATAATGGAACAGGCTGAAGGCAGCCAGTTCTTACCTTAGAGCATTAGGTCATAGGGTGAAGATTAGGAATAATAGAAGCTTCCCCAGTTAAGTCTGTTGACCCTACATCCCTTGATCTCTACTCTACTTGTTTCCTTATGTAAACTCTGTGCCCCAATGGTCCTCTCAGAGGGAAGTGGAAGGGGGATTACCTGTTAATGGTGTTTGTTCTGGGCCCCCAGAACCAAAACCTTTCATCATTCATAAAACCACACTTTTTACTTTTGAGATGGAGTTTTTGATCTTGTTGCCCAAGCTGGAGTCAAATGGTGTGATCTCAGCTCACTGCAACCTCTGCCTCCCGGCTTCAAGTGATTCTCCTGCCTCAGCCTCCTGAGCAGCTGGGACTACAGGTGTGCACAACCATGCTCAGCTAATTTTCGTATTTTTAGTAGAGACGGGGTTTCACCATGTTGACCAGGATGGTCTTGATCTGTTGATCTTGTGATCCACCCGCCTCGGCCTCCCAAAGTGCTGGGATTACTAGGTATGACATAAAATCACTCTTTTAACGATGTTAATGATGCACAAGTGTGTTGACTTAGAACCTCTGTCATTAAATCTATACTGAATAAAAGAACAGCTAGTAAGGGGTCAGGTAGCTGCAATTGCCCTCTGAGAGCGGCTGACAACCTCCCTAGCCCACTCGTTCACTGTACTCTGTGTATTCGAATGTATTTATTCATCTGTCGCGGAGTCAGGGTTTGCAGGACAGACCCCTGCAGATAGCAATCAATGTCTCAGGTGGTGACCCCAACGTGATTAATGCCACATCAGACCACACAGAGGCCACAAACATTGATGCTTTGTAGATGGGTCCATCACCAGCAGCTCTCTCTCACCCTAAATTCTTCCAGGGTACTGTTTCCATTCTCAGGCCTTCACACGAAGTTTCTGATATTCACAATTCCCCAGATCTTATTTCCACACCACCCCTTCTCCTGCCAT